TGTGTGATGAGCAATCACGGGGGAGTGGATTAGTGGATGATTATGTTTCAATCATTCACTAATCCCTTCATTAGACTTACTTTCTTCTTATTGTAGTTTGTATGCGTAGGATGCACCACCACTTAGTTTAAACTCTCATAGATCTAAGGACATGGTGTGTTTACTGCTTTTGTGTGTTACCATGCATTATTACCTTGAGGGTTAGCTAAAACTTCACTTTAAACCCATATAATGTAGTGACACCCTAAGGACCTGTCTAGTGAACTTAGAAAATTTCTAGGAGATAGGGTAGATCACTGATTGACATGAAAACTTTAACATATGAACTTAGAGACACCCTAAACATCTCAGAATTTTATAGGAATTTTTAGGAGCTTTTAGACCCCTTAATTAAACCTTAATTTATCCGTTAATTTGACCTTAGGTGAAAATTACTTTTTTGTCCCTAATAAATAATTAAAAATTATTAAAAATCCCAAAATTTCCCTAAACACTTAGAAACACCTTATGTCATTTCAGATCTTTGGGGGTGATTCCAATCAGTTTTGGGCTGATTTGGATCAAAACCTTAAAATCAGCCTTTAACTAAATAATTTATACAATTCCATAAATACTCTAAACTTAGAAAATTCATAATTAATTTTAGAAAATTATAAATTAGGCAAACTCACTTGCATTAGACTCCTATTAGGGTATAATATTTATTAAAAATATTAGAATTCCAAAAACTAACCTAAATTAGAAAGTCAACTTTTTGGTCAACCCCAGCCTATAGCTTAGGGCCTGAAACTTGGAAAATTCATAACTTTGCATAGGAAACTCCAAATCCACCAAACTACCTTTCTAATTACTCACCTGAAGGTTTATTATTTACTTAAAATTTTAAGAGACCTAAACCTAGCATATTTCCCATAGTGACTTTTTGGACCGCCTCAGCCTAGTAGCTAGGAGGATTCGAGACTTTTCAAAATTGGCTAATATCATTTGAACTTCAAATATTACTACTCCAAGTATTTAAAACTAATCAATCAATTAAACTAACTAAAATGGACCCCAATCTATTAATATTTAAACTATAATAAAATTTTCTCTTCTGGCCTATAATTATTCTGAACTTTAGGTAACTTTAACTAACTACCCAAATTAAGACATATCCAAGCCACACCAGCCGTACACACACGTAGAATTGTTTGCTAGGGCACCACTTTTAGACTTAGGCTAGACTGGTGTTTATTTCTTTCTGCTGTGTGCCGGAGCTTTCTGTGATTTTCACTGCATGTTGTATGAAATTGATTGGTGTGTTTGCTTACTTTTTCTGCGCTCTGGATATGATGTGATGTACGCTAGATTTACCCCTAGGTTAGGAACGATGCATATATACTGTTCTTCTTGCAGGTGGCCATGCTCATGTTATGCTAAAAGGGGGCAACCGTTATGATTTTTAATGATGTTTTATGTAGATGCTTGTTCAGCCCTTCCTAATAAAATGAGGGTTAAAATCATTAAATTATAACTGCTACATGTGCTCCAGAAGCTATATTAGCCCTCAATCATTAAGAGCATGGCCAAGTTTGGCTTGATGC